CAATATGCCGATCTTCGTGGAGAGTATGCCTTTGCATGAAAATAATCTGTAGTTCTTGGTATACTATTAGCAAAATCGGGTGAATAGTTGTACTTGGCAAATTAGTGTAGGATTTTTAATGGTCGGCCTTGCCCGACTTTAATGTTCTTATTCATTTCAATTAAGTTTTACTTAACTATGCAAAATTGAAAGAGAAAATCGTTTACATGCAAATATACGCCGCCTTTGCCTACAAACAGCTTAAAGTCTATTGAAGCGAAAACATCAATATTGTTGCGTATGTTTAAACGTGTGAATCCAAATAAGGCTGTAAAGCAAAGCCATAAAAAAACAGCAACCATCTCAATAATTTATGACAATTATTACAAACAATAACAATAATAATAACAACAAACAAACAAAATATTTTTCCTCCTTTTTAATGGAAGAGAAGCAAAGACGCCTGCTTGTTAACGCGATAGAGACGGAAAACGAAAAGTAAAGGCAGACAAAAAAATGTATCTTCCGTCAGTGCGACGCGGAAAGTCAATTTATTGTCATTTCATTATTATATTTTGGAAAAAGGCGACAAGGCTTTTAAAATAAATAATTTTCTTCTCAATTATACTATTTTTCCAATTGGTATCATGTTCGCCTAACTAGTTTTGTTCGTATGGCTTGCTTTAAGTTGGCACATCTTTTAACGTCATTTCATTCTGAAGTGTTGCAAATATTGTTTAAAAAAATTTTTTTATTTTTTTATTACTCATGGGGCGTTTACTGAGGTTTTCATTAAATTTTCTTTCTTTTTTCGCTTGACAAAAATGCATACATGTCCTGTTAATCTATTAAATATTAAAGGATGCATTAAGGATTAAACAATAGTGTTAGCATTTGTTAAAAAAGAGGTGCAAGATCCAGGACATTAGAATGTTAATAATGACAATGCTGTCGCAAGCATGATATCAGTTATAACTTCGGTCATGACATCATAGGGAAATGAAATTTTTTTTTTGTTTTTTATGAGCACTCCTTGAGTGGATGCCCTCTGTACGAGAACGAACACGGTTATGGTCAGAGAAAAGAAAAATAAAGAAAGAACGATAGATAAAGTGCGGCTTTACCCCAGGGAAGTTTATATCTGATCGCTAAGCTTGATTTCTTTCCCGATATATCTATCGTCACATACCAATCGTATAATTAATATACGATCAATTGCTTTTACCATGTACCACTCTTTACATAACATTCATCATACCACATATGTGATATCACTTATGATTTCAGTCATGATATCATACGAAAACCGTTTTTGTTTTCCTTTTTACGACCACCCTTGGATTTAGAAAATTTTATCAAATACGATTTCACATATGCTTACATTTTTAAGTATGATAACAAAAATATAGCAACGCACTATGGAAGGCGCCATATAAGATATCTTAGATACGATATCAATAACTTTATCGCATGCGATTTTAATTATGAGATCGTTTAGAATGTTACTTGCGATTCAATTCGAAAATTTTCAAACAAGTTCGAAATTTTTTCTACCAATTCTATTCCGCGAAGCAAGAGTTATTGTTGGGGAGTAAAACTTTCACGAATACAAAGATGACTTTGACGATTGTTTCAATAGCAGAAAACCAGCGATTTCCGGGAACTGCTCAACAATAATGAGAAATTAACCGATGAAGATTGGAAATATAATTTATAACTTATATATATAACAAAGCAAAAAAAAAAAGAGATTTTTCTTTCAGATCCAGATATCAATATGTTTTTTGTCTTTTTTCTTTAAGGAAAAAAATTACGCGCAATAATATATACACATGCAAACATATAAAGAAAATACTACGCGATATTAAAACTATCAATTAAGAACTTTTTCAAGCATTGATTTTTATACCTATACATGAATAAATAAATGAATGTTTATATATATATATATATACATCTACGTGAGCATATACATACATATATACATATGTATAAATCTTTTTTTTTTTTTCTATATATATAAATTATTTAATGTGCATTTGTCTATTGCGCGTTTGATATGTATTCCTCGATATGTTTACCCCCATGAATGCAAGATGCCAATAACGTAAAAACGGACAACGAACGACAGATTGATTGACATAGTAATAAACCCCAATTAAATAATAATTTCTTGAATGAAATTCATTGAAGTATAAAATATGCAAATATATATATATACATATATATATGCAATATATATATAGAAACGCATATTTTGAATTGTATTGATAGATAATACGTACGTAGATGACTACCATCCGTATATAAATATAATCTTCTCATTCTTTTTTAAGATTTATTAGTCGTCTTCGCCAGCGAGTGTGGTTTCTTCACATGCACTTCTTTGCGATGAACATAAAATTAATTTATGACTTAAATTAAGAAGGAAGTGCTTTAATAAGCAAATTTTAACATCAAGTTCAATTATATCCTAGAGTACAACCAATCTTTTACGTTGAGGCACGGATTGCCCACAACTTTTATGCTAAGGATTTGGACAGGTTTCTTGGAATTACAGCAAATACTGGCTACGTATTTTTGATGCGTCAAAATTATATAACGGATTTCACTGCATTTTCGTAGTTTTTAGCACGGCGGTCCGTGGACATGAAGCCCTTATTAACATCCTTCTTTTGTTTTCACGTAGTTTGTTGTCAAATTTTAGAAGGACTGAGGTCTCAATTTTGACGAATTGAAAATATTGTGAAGAGACTATTATTATTATTATTTCAGAGTTTTCGCTCCACAATTACCAAGAAAGGAAAAAAAGCAAATCTGAAAGAAGATTTCAATTTAAGACCTGAGTGATCGCTCAAGAATTTAGTTGCTTTATAATTGTAAAATAAAATATTGCCCCAAGATGATGAAACTAGATTCTAAATTTAAGAGCCAGTTGATTGCTTTACTTGCTTTACAATCGTAATGCTTTAATTTGGAAAAGAAAAAAGAAAAGATAATGGATAAAAGATCTTGATGCAACTTCCAAAAGGAAGAGTAAAAATGTTATTTGTATCATAATCGGGGCAAAGTTTCGATGTAATTTCAAGGTAAGAATGAGGAATAAGAGTAATATTTTCGGAAAAAAGATAAGAAATAAGAGTAATGTCTTCTGGATAAGGATAAGGAATGAGAATAATTTTTTTTGTATCATTTTCGAAATGTAGATAGGGATAAGGAAAGTTCCGTGGGCAAAATTGACTGTTGGAAGAAAACTTCAAGTGGTAGTAATATCGACAAACAGATAAAAATTCCTAAAAATTGGATTTAACTTATCTCACTCACAATCAGATCCGCCTTCATGTTTATTTTATCGAAATATAATTGAATTCTCACAAGCACGCCATTTCTTTCTAACAACAACAACAACATTGTACTAAAAAATCCTTACCTTGAATTTTTTCTTAAATAGTCAGCTTTCGTAGAGATGTCTTCGTTCGTTTTTGTGAAATCGATTGCAATATTAATCCATTACATATTTACAAGAATTAAAATGTATTTAATAGTTTTATATATCTACAAACGTTTTATAAGAATTTTTTCAATATTTTTCTCTAACAAATAATTCCTAGCTTGTTTATTTATTTATTTTTTTTTTTGGATTGTTGGGTGGAGATGGACTTTTTTTTTTTTTAGTATGTTGAATGGAGATGGACTAAGCCAACAGATTCGTGGCTTATATGTCCAATTTACTTTCTTTCCAAGCAGAAAATATATTTGAAGAATATTATTGTGAACTAATCTCGAAAAGAAGAAGCGTGAAATTATTTGGAAAAGAAGAAGAAACAAAAAAGCGCTAAGTAGCAAACAGCTGTTAAATATCAACAACTAGCCATTTGCATTTGCTTAAGTTGGAAAGATCATCTGAGGAGAAAAAGTATCGTATTGTAATGCTGCAATTCATCGAAAAAAGAAAAACTCCTTAAAACCATCTTTCAAGGAGGAAATAATTGATGGTTGTTGAAATACGCTACTTTCTTTACATAATATCGACGCCGGCTTTAACAAAAGAATGAAACGTGCAAACTTGCGTTCTCGTGCCCATGAAGATCATCAGTACAAGTCTAAATCTGCCAGGAATTTAATAACTAGTTTTATTTTTACGAGCTCCTGCGTAAAATGTATCCCAGAAAGTTTTTTGCTTTTGCAAAGCTACTAAGGAGTTTTATTAAATTGGCAAAATAATTAGCTAAGTATCTTTGAAATACATTCCATCGATTGAATAAAATTGATTGCTTTTATTTCTGCAAATCATATAAAAAGAAGATGTTTATGATGGTTGCAGGATGACTCAAAGTTTACGTTTGTAGCCTGCAGAAAAGGAGTCTGATCACGAAATAAGCACATATCTTTTAATTATCTCAAAGATAAACAAATATTTGTAAAAAGAAGCAGAGAATTTGAAAACGGTCCGGAAGGTGTTGTGCTAGTTATATATCACTTAAAGGAAGACCAAAATATTACTTTGCTTCTAAATTTTTATGCAGTTATTTTTATAAGTCAAGCAATTAGATTCTAACATTGATCTGGGCGATGACAAGAGAGTCAGTCCTGGGCGATGACTAGGCTTTGGGGATTTCTCGGAATCGACGAAAATAAAAGAGCCACCTGAAAAATCGTGCACTCCAATAATGTGAGTCGATCATAAATATGGAATTGGAAACTATATTAAGGAAGTAAACGGCCAGTGACGATTTCCTGTTTTTGATGTGAATGTTTTGCATATATTTTCTCTCAATAAACAAGAAAATAATCCCCAAATATATTCCATTCATTACAGGTATCGAAATGCGAGAAAACCCGAAATGTTTAACGCGCTCTTCTCTAAATGTAAGGAGAAAGAAAGAAATGAGACAAGTTTTTTAAACAAGAGAGAAAAAGCTCAATTGTAAATTTCGTTATTTATTAATTTCTAATACAAAAATTTATATAAAAGCCAGCATTTCACTTATTTTCTTAGCAGTTTTAATTTTGTTCGCGAGAAACATTGCGAGAGGGAAAGATTTTTACAAAAACAACTTTCGACTTTCGGAAACAATTTAAACACTTTTTTATAAGCACAATATAAGTTATAATATTTTCTCACAGACTACAAGCCAAAAAAAACATAATTGTAACGAAAATGATGATGAATTAAAAACAATCAAATTGGATCAAGCTACAATATAATTTAAAACATTAAACCCACTTAAAATGAAAAGAATTCCATTACACTTTCTTAATTTGCGTCTTTCGTGGCGATGGCGGTGGTATCATCCACTTTAGTCGATGTTTCTTTCTTCGTTTTTTCCTTCTTCTCTTTTACCAGTTTGCGATAGCCTTCTAAATCTTGTGTCAAGGGATCAATAAAACTTTCAAATTCCAGCTTCTTGAGAGCATCTAAGATATTGGCGGTAGTAATGCTTTTATGATTTTGTTTATGCGCCAAATTTGTTGAAGTTGAGGTCAAAAATATGACAAAAATTGAAGCTGCTCGGGCAATTGCCGCTCTAGCTTCTTTCGACACATTCGTTCCATCCGGTAAAGCTTCTTTAATAAGACGAGCAATAACAGCATTAGGTAAATTTAAATCTTCAATACGTTCAACCATTTCTTTTTTTGCTTTTTATTTCACTTATGAAAAAAAAATTAATTGCAATTAATTCAAACTTTGATAATTAATAAATTTTCGAAATATTTTTTAATGAATTTTAACCAATTTACATGTGCCGCCAATTTTTTGACTTTGATGACAAATTTGACAATTGTTTTCCTTTTTGCATTTGCTTTCTATGACTTTTGTGTATACACAACCGCCACGGTTGCCGATTTTCTTGACATTTTTGCATACCACAGATGATTTGATGGTTTTCTGTTGTTCCCTTTTCTATGTTCTTCAATTTTCCCATCTTTCAACCACAATGCAAATATAATTTTAATCCGAAAATGTTCTTCAAATTACGGCTGATTACTATTATGAATTGTTTACATAAATAAATAGAAAATAATAGAGCTTGCGACAAAAATAATAGAGCTTGCGAGTAAATTGTTAACAATTAGTAGAGAGAGACAAAACCGGTATGTTTTGTTACTGTTTTCTCTTTTTCGTTTTCTTCGTACGAAAAAACTTTTTAGTAGTGTTATCATAACTGGCATTTAAACTTCCCCGAAAAGACTTGAAGAGGTATGTCCTTCGCGTTAGGATTACAATTAGCATTTTTTTATTCAAATATGTCTCGGTTTGCCCTTACAGTTATGAACTAATTGAAGCCGTAACACGCAATAATGAATAATACTTCGATTTAAATAAAGTTTGGTAACGAAATACAAATATATTATAAAGTGAAAAAATACCAAAGGTAACCTCTCACTATACTAAAGACTATACAACAACTATACTAAGGACTTTTACAACGCAGTGTATCATCTTCTTCTTCTTTTCTAAGTCAGCAAGTCAATGACAATTGACTTATTAATTGAGTAATCATCGGCGAAGCATCTGTTGTTGACTTGCTGAAAATTTAAGAGGAATAGAGAGAATGAGAATTGAGTATACAATCCCTTTTGTTTAAGAAATTTAATTTTTTCTAACTATTTCCTTTCGAAATTTGGATTAAGAATTCTTAATTGGTTCTTAAACTATCATCTCACAACCTGGTGGGAAAAAGTGCACTCGTTGCATTTAAAAACACATATTTTCGAATACACAATTTCTAATTATTCTAAAATATTGAAAGATTTTAAGCTTCTTTATGAAAAAGTTGCTCGTATGTCTATATGAAAATGGAATATTATGCCTGAGTGCCTGAGTGAGTATAATAAAATAAAATATATAATTATTTAACATACATATATAACATACATGAATACCAGATTTTACTGAAGTTTTTGTTAGTTTCGCATTGAATAACTTTATGCATACAAAATATTTTTTATATATTTTTTGGCTTTTAAATATATATATTGGTTTCCACTATCATAAACATTCATTCGTTACTCGGTTTATAATAGCGAAAAACGTGCATAATCAAATATTTTACTTAATAAATGTATTCCGTGTTTGAAGACTGCAACCTTGTGATTTTTTATACCCTAGACCACTTGTGCTAGAGGATATTCTAACTTAGTGCGGACGTATGTAACATGCAGAATGGCTTAAGATCGACCTTTTATTATACCGATCGATTCAGAATCATTATCTGAGTTGATCTAAGCCCCTGTGTCCGGTCATCCAAAAGGCATTATAAGGGAAGGAATTGCCATTATATCGCTCAAAGTCTCGATTTCTGGAGTGAAATCATTGCTTAAATGTGGTCTTTAAGCCGATCTCTAATTTAAGTTTCAACTTCCGGTTCTCTCGAGACCATGTTTTTCAAGATGATCATATTCCTCAAACGATTGAATTTAAATTTAGTCTATAGCTGCATACTACCGTAGTCTAGTGAACTCTAATGATTTTTTGAACGATTTTGAAGAACAAAATTTTCAAAAATATTTTTTTGCAGTTGTAGTGCCTGAATGGCATAGTCACACTAATGCCATGCTACGAGGTACAATCTGCATGTCTCCAGTATGAAGTAATTTTAACCAAGTCCTTTTTTTTGGTTTGTTGATTGGGCATGGGTTAAGCCAATAGATTTGTGTGAATGAAATCTTTGAACTAAATGGTAAGGATAGGAAATCAGAAATCTGCCATAATTTCGTATACTCATTATTCATTAACGAATAAGAAGAAGAGAGATAAAAAGCAAACAAAGAAGAGAGAGAGAGAGAGAAAGGAATAAGGATTATATTGGGCTTGCGATAAATATGGAACAGAAATATTTCGAAATATTTTAAGCAGGTAGAAATTTGCACCTTATGAGAAAACAGGTTTTTTGTGGGAACTATTACGCCGCCATTTTATATACAAAAATGATTCACTTTTCACTTATTTTTTTTATTGTTGCCAACATAAGATCACCCAAGGAGCACCTTATTATTTGCTTCAAAATAGTGCCAATAAGAAAGAAAGCCTTTGGATCGCTCTCAGCCTCCTATTTACCCAACGCACGTCTCAATCAAGCTACGCTTACGTATTTCCGTTTGAAATCGCTATGAACATAGACATTTCTCCGAGGCATTCGTTAATTCTTTCCACTTTTGTTGAGTATACCTGAAAATCTTATTCATGTGTATGTTATAGTTTATGAGTAACGGAAAAAAAAAATTCAAAATTCGTTGTAGGCGTGACCGATATGCTCTGTTTTCAAGACCAACCTGCGTGCAAGGAACATTGATTGTTTTCCCTAATTTAGAACGTAGTAGTAGTGTCTTCAGAAGGACCTTTATCACATATAATAGTCAGATAGACAGACATTTTTATATAGATTCTGAAAATAATTCTAAATCCATACCAAATAAAAAGTAAGTCTATCTTAAGCCATTCTGGTTGCTACATACATTCGCTCAAAATTTACTGTAATCTATACCAAAAGTGATACAGAGAATAACAAATAAAAAAATTTTGGTGAAGCGAGCTTGACATTAAATAACATGGACCACTTGGCTTACTTTAATTCTTCAATTAATAACTAAAAAATTATGTTTGGTTTCCAAATCAAAGAAAAATTTTCATGGGAGTCCTTATATGAAGACGCGCAGAAAGCGCGGCGCAAGGTAACCAAAATTTAGCAAAATTTTATTATCAAATATATTATTATTTACTTATTTAGTTCACAAAAGATTATTGTGCTTATTTTTTATAATTTTCATATTCTCAAACTTAGCTGATTCCGTTTTAAAACGCCATTGCTACAATAATCTAATAATTGATCTTTGCTAAAGCTTTATAAATGTAATGAAAGGAGAAAAGCTTAATATAAAATCATAAAAATATTAAAAACACAAAATCCATTTCTTTGGTATGCTTGGTCAATCACGGTTCGTAGGATAAGACGTTAAATTTCTGGGATATAGGCTCCATCAATTCGACGATAATCTTTGACTTACTTGGTAAGAATGAAAGAGATAAGAAAGTCCATTAAAATATCAACATCCAATAGCCATTTTAAAGTTTAACCATAAAAGGAAAGCTTCAACTGAGTACACCCTGGTTACCAATGAAGGAAGTGTGGGTATAGAGTATGTGTATATAGTTAATTCTGAAGATACCACCATTTGCCATCGGTGACCACAATTTAAGAATATTTATGCAATCAACGATGTGTCCTTCCGTCCAATTTACGGTACTTTGGAAACCGTAGGTTAAGTTTGTACTTCCGCTTTTGAGGAAAAAATGCTCGCATCAAACGTAAGCTCTCGATAATAATGAATCAATTAATCACAAGTCTACTTACGAAGAATTAAAATGCTTAATTGTTTGTGTGGTTTTTAAAAACAACTTTTCACGAAAATTTTGAATTTCTTGCAAAGAAGTTGGAAAAAAGTCGAACCAAAAAACTATTAAATTTATTTATGTAAATTAATTTGAAAAAAAAAAACATTTTTTCACAATATCATAAGTGAGGTTGACAAAGCGAAACTTTGCTTAGCCACTGTGAGAAAATCATTTCCGGTGAGAAGTGAAACTAATGACGCGTGAATCCTGCATTAATAGCCTTTAAAACGATGTGCAAGTTATATTATGTTTTACTCGGATAATCTTTTTATGGGACTTGCTTAATTCAAATCTTTTGCGTTTGGGATGACGTATCCACTCTCGTAATTCAGCTGTGAAAATTGTAAGACTCTCAGTCCGTTTAGCCGTGTTCTTCTCAATCTCATTTGTCTGCATATTTAAAAAATGGGCCTCAGAAACTCCGTAATGTGACGCTTGATGAACGTAATCAATATATCATATATTACGAGTACGTATATATGTACAGGCATATACATATATTCGGAATCTCCCATTGCAAAACATGGGCCGTAGGAGATCGTAGATAGGGTACGTTACAGAATGGTCCAAGATTTATGATTTGTCGGCTCAGTAAGCAGGTTTCCACCGTCCGTTTATTCCTATAAGTGTAAAGCACGAATATTTCATTTAGATGTTACCATGTGGGGATAAAAATTAATAGCCCCTAATCAACTAGATCAGTATAGACACGTGTGTCAATCTTATACAACCTCCGATCCCTTTCAAGTGTCATTTAGGAGTAGCCCTGAAAATAATAAAGTCAATAGTTCGATATTTAGACAGACGGTGGGGAGTTCCAGACATAGCTGATACACAAAAGTGGCGTCCAATGGGGAGCGTATGGATATACATATATATATATATAGATACTTCTTTAATTAAATCCATCATGTTTTAAGAACCTCGTTCGACGGGAAACAAAGCAAATGCGGGAAAGTGTAAACCCTGTTGTGCGGTATCTGCGAAATTCCGTACCGCCTTAGCCATATCTGCTTTCTGCCCCTTCATCATCTATTCGCTTCCAGCGTAAGATTCTAAACCATATCCCCACAGCCGTCCATGCTTATGTTTTTCGTAATGAAAATGGCAAAGAACTTCCAAGCAGAGAGCCGTCACTGTAATTGTAATTCCATTGTAACTGTAATCGCAAATAAAGAGCATATATTGATCTTAAATTTCGTATAAAAAGGTAGTTAAAAAATGATTCAAGTTAACTAACCGATATGCTCACAATTAAGAAAATATTTCGACAGATTAAGTTGAAATGATGAACACAAAAGATCCAAATATAACTAATTAACTTAATGTTTATCGAATTAAGAGATTATACTCAATGAGTTCATAGGATGATATATATATAGATTTCGTCATTATCGACGTTACAACTGTAAGCTAATGCAAACTAATCGCTGGATTGTTATGAAATTTTGCTTGGCATTATCTAAAAATCATATGGATTCGTCAAAAGTCATTTTACGTGTGCATCTCATCCTATGAACTTGCTGAACTTGCTGTTGTGTTACATAGTTGCAATAGCAATTAAAAAT